ACTGTCATATTTAAGGACCCAGGTGAGGTAGAAGGAAAGGTGCCTTTGATTTAGACATGTCATTCTATCAGGACCATGTTGAGGTAGAAACATTTCCACAGTAAGGCAGAATTCTGAAAATTAAACATGGGGTTAGGAGGAGTGAAGTTATGAGAGGTGCTTACTCCTCATCTGAAAGTATAAAAGTTGAAGGGTAGGTCAGTAAGGCTTGTCTCTGGTATGCATGACGTTGGAGTCTGTAGGCAATACTGTTAAAGAGTCCTGCTGTAAAAATGATCATTAATAGAACGTAAGAAATTAGGAATCAAAGTGGATAACAAAACATGGCAACCTGTGAGTCATGGCCGTGAGGATGAGTAGGAAAAGGATGGTCAGATCTAGGGCCTGAGTGATGCGAAACCAGGATGGCAGTCTAGCAACTTAGTCCTTGGAATGATTTGTTGTAACAGAACTTTGGCAAGTATATCAGCAGTTTTCCTGGGTGTGGGAAAGGCTTTTTATGTATCCTGAAAAAGTATAAACAAAGAGAGAAGACAAAATGTATCTGTCAGCCTGTATAAAAGGGAATAAAAGCATTTTAAGATTTAGGACTGGGACCTGCACAAAATAGACCCTGTTTGTAAATGGCATAGGTTGACCCCATCATAGAAATTGAGGACTTAATATAGCAGCCTGAAAATCCAGGAAGAACTCTGTATATATGGGCTTTATGTCCGTAAATACAGAGAACATTTTACCTGAGAGTTTGATGTGACTTGGATTCTGAGATGGACACCCATAAAGGGGGCTATGTTGGCCCTGAACCCCCTGAGTCTTCGGCAGCAATTTCATCTGTGGGCGACAAATCTGGCAGTGTTGGCATTTCCTGTGAGGGCTAGAGGTTAGGATGGCTTATCTACTCTCTGGTGGCTAGGACAGCCCAGCAGCCCTGGAGTAAGGTCTCAAAGGACGCCAGGATGAGGCACTCTCTTGCCTGATGTCTTTCCGTGGTGGGGGGGGGGCAGGTAGCTCCATCTTGTGTCAGTTTGTCTATCTCAGAACTGCAAGTGTTATAAGTGTTAAAATATGAAAAACCATATCAAGATCTCTGTGGAGCTTAGAGGTCAAGTTTTGCCTTTTTGTTTGAGACTTAGATTACAGTAGTATGCAGGAGTTTAATATTTGCATTTTAGATTAGAGAGTAGGCTCTATCTGGATGGCATACTGCTTTTAGGGTGTTGGGTGGAATTAACAAAAAAGGCTTTAGTCTGCCCATAAAAGGCTTTAGTTTGCCTTTTGCATTTTGGAGTAAAATCTTAATGGAAACATTTGCAGTAAAGGTTTACCAATCTTATGAATAAATCTAACAAAACTGATCTAATACTGTCAAATTCTGAATACATTTACTTCTTTTTAAACCTGTTATTTGCAGTACTATAGACCAAGACATAAAATTCACATCCTTTCAAGCCTTCCATAACTTACATCCTCTTGAGCCCTCCATAACTTTCTATATACCCTCAAGTCTTAACCAAGACAAATATACCCTCAAGTTATTATAACTTACTATATACTCTCAAGTTACCAGTCAATTATCTTTCTTTTTGTTTGTCAGACAACATTAAAACTTTTAACAAAACCCTTACCTTGGAACAGAGCTAGTGGTTTCCAGCAAAAAGGAATTTATAACCTTAGTTGTTAAACAGGAGATTGGTGACAACACAGTACAGTAGAGGCAATAAGTTTAGAACATTACTGGTGGTCCACAGCAAAAGGAATTGATAAATATCTCTTAATTTTAGTTGTTAAAACAGGAAATTAGTAAAGGCTTTAATTGATAAACACGGCTGGTAAAATTACAAGATGGCCATTAACCTTGATTAAATAGTTTGAGAATTGTAATAATAATAAAAATAGTATCTCTGAGAGGAGCCGAATTGTAAAAAAAAATAGCATGTCTGAGCGGAGCTGCCGAGGCATTGTCTATCTGTGCCTGTGTTTAAAGGGGCGCTTGTGTTTGGGAGGAACCTGTCTGGGAAATGCTCAGTGTCTAAGGCAGTTTGGAACTCTGAGACAGACAGAGCGCACCTGTAGAGAGAGCATACTCCTGTTTGGGGGCAGGGCCGAGATTATCTGGCATGCATCGCGTAGGTGGAACACACAGAGTAGGCGGGGTGAGCGCTTGGACACAGTGCGCAGGGGTGGGCTGAGATCGAACATGGAAACGCGTGCACGGGGAAGGGAGGGGCTGGGACAGTGCCCGGAAACATGCAGTGCAGCTGTGACGGCGCATGGGGGCAGGGCTTGGAGGCTTGCATCGGTGGCAGTGGCAGGGGCTCACTGCTGGTGATGGAGCTGGCAGCATGTGACGCGAAGGGCGGCGACGGCGGGGGCAGTGGCAGCAGGGGCAGTGGCGGTGGTGGTGGTGGGTCTGGGAGACGCAACACAGCTTGAAGCTGGCTGCCGCTCCTGGAGGCGTGCAGCTGGCAGCCACCGAATCGCCACTTGGAGGGGCCACTTGCCGGGCGCGTGGCCCAGGGTGTGGCGTTAAAGCCGAATTGCATGTGTGGACCTGGCCGCATGAGGGCCGAAACACTGTGCGCAGAGTTGGGGGCTGTGGCGCGCGAGAGCCCAAAGCTGCTTAAAAAGCAGCTTAAAACAATCCCGCGTGTATCTCTCAACACTGTCTGGGCTCGTCCTCTACCCTGGCGGGGAATGGGCTGGCACAAATGGGCCGGCGCGGCGGGGAATGGGTTGGACGTGGAGCTGAGCTGCTATGTGGAGCTGGAACTGCTCTCGGGGCACACGGATTAGGGCACAGCATTAGCGCTGACCCCGTGTGGACCTGGAGCACCGCATGAGAGCCGAGATACTGCACAGAGTTGGGGCGTGGCGTGAAAGCCAAAAAGCTGTTTAAAATCTAAAGCAGTTTTATGTGTATCTCTTAACGTTGTTTGGTCTCATTTTTTTTTTTTTTATCTATGCGGGGAATGGGTTGACACGAACGGGAAACAAAGGGATGCTGGCAGCGTGGTGGCGGGGAGGGGAAGCAGGGAGTAAAGGAGACACTGAGAAAGCTTGTCGGCAGTGTGATAAGCCATAGATATGTATGGTTTCTGGGGGGGGGGGACAGGAAGTGGTCCCCGAGATAAAAACTAGTGTGGGGTCTAGCCCACGGGATTATAATCAGATGAAGCAACGGACCGTGGTCTGTCAGGATTAGAGTCGTCACTTTGCACCCCAGACTGATGGGTTGGTTATATGGCTCCAAACTCCTAATAATTGGCTGTCACCAATATTATGAGTGGACTTTATGTGTAACCGCTCTGCCGTGAGAACTGTGAGCGTCTCTCAGTGTGGGTGGTCCAGAGTGGACACAGGCTTGCCCAGAAAAACCCTATTTTGGGCTGTCCAAAGGACATGAAAGCGTCATGAACCCATGCAAAGAGGGAAGAAAATCGCCTGAGCCTGGCTCAGTGGCTGTCTCCGGGGAGTTGCTCACCTGTGGTAAATTGGTGGGTGTTGTTTGCGAACCAGCAGCGACAAACTTATAGCTCCCGAGTGTAGTAGTGAGGAATTAATGCAGGATGCAGTCCGGTCCTGGTCCTGAACGGCATGGGACTCAAACTGGGAAACAGCCCCAGGAGTCTCTCATCTGCCGTTCCCGGTCAGGGAACCGTATGATAGAACTGTGGGGGAGGACTGGCGGTGGCTGAAAAGATAAGAAGTATAAAATATAAATAACCTTTATTTTGAGAATGCAGGGAGAGACACCCACGACCCCCCGGGACACACCATCTCCACCCTGGGGTCGGCGATCTCTCCGTGGAACACGTGGAGTGGGGCACCTAAGTAGCCTCGGCCTGGGGTGGAACCTAAGGGGGCCATTAGGGATGCACAGGTAGTCCACTGGTCTTAGTTTGGCACCAGAGGTAGATTCCTAAGGGTGGGGGAGATAGGAGCTCCTTGGCTTTACTGGCTACAGTATCTGGCCTGGGCCAAAACCCTTTCAACTCACAGACTTTCTAGAAAGGTTAAACTAATTTACAGTTCTCCTTTCCGTGTTTACAGATTTCCTTGTCATCTGTCCAGCAATGAGTATGATCATTTTGAAAACTGCTGAGCAATATAAATTTTATGAAGTAGTCTCGTAGTGTTAAGGGTTCTTCCTTTGAGGTTCTCTCAGAATTTGCCATAATGTCATATGCTTGCTAATTGTGCTTTTATTTTGTGATTTGTCCTTTGTGTTAATGGCATCTTTATTTTGAGACATTTTTATTGTATTGAACTTGCTTTATGCTTTGATTCTTGCCAGTATTCTTCATTGTGTAGTATATTTTTCATTGTGTGAGAATTGGAATTTCCTCGCATTTAAAGCTATTAAACTTTTCCTTTGCTATTTTTTATATTGTACCAAAAGTAAAAGCACTTACACATATATTTTTTAAGCAACAAATGCACATTTTAGAAATTTTGTAACATACATAAAATTACAAAACAAGGAAATATTCTACTGTCTTGCATGTACTTTTTTCTAATACTTTATCTTTCTCACACATTCATGAATATCTTTAAAATTACATTTGAATTTAGGTAGTATTTCCAGTTTGAGGACCTAGTTTTTTGTTAAAAATATGCTGGTGGAACTTTCAGATATCATGAAGTATTGTTTGGAAATAATTAAGGTTTTGAAAATCTGTCTGGAGTTTATTTTGAAGCTACTTTCTGCTTATTTCTAAGTAGAGATGAGTCAATCCTCTTTCTTCCCAGGTGAGCTGGTGGTGCCCACTTAGTTCCCTAGGACACTCCTCTCTGTGGTGGCCGTGTTCCTGGGCACTCTATGCTGGTCACCGAGCCACATCATTGCACCTATAATAAGCTCTTCAGTATTTTCTGAGCCCACAGGGCTTTCAGGACAGAGGCCTAGCGAAGCCTCATCAGGGTTATTAATGTTTAACTGCACTGTGCTAGAAATCACTCTTATCTCTCTGTCTGTTTCTCTATTTTTTTCCCATTTGCAGATGTTTTTTAATCATCCTGAGAAAAATGAGCCTTGGCCTCCAGACACATTAAAGCAACGTTTCCACCCATGGAGAATAGTGCTAGTCCCTGAGGACCTGGGCGGCCTGCAGCCCCAGGGGGATTAGCCAGAAGCAGGTAAGAGCCCTAGCAAAGGGATCCGTTCCCCAATAAAAATGGCATGGCCCAGACTGCTCTGGCCATGTCTGAGGGTCAGAGTACCGGACTGCAGCTCTGCTGGTTTTCCCTCCTTTGTTCTCTTTCAGTGATCTGGGGCAGGATGGGGGAAGGGTAATTAGGTGGCTTACCCATGTCTGTAAGCTATAAATAGGATTTAAGTTATTCTATCATTCACTCGGCCTTTTGTGAGCACCCACTATGTCCCAAGTATGGCATTTGATGCTGAATATGCTTTGAGGACTAGCTCAAGGCAGAATTTCTTACTTTGACAGAGATTTTCTTCCTGATGCATCAGTGTGGGCTTGGTGTCTGTGGGTGATAATGAGTCGTTATTGTGTTCTGGAAGCGGTGTGGTAATTGTAAGGATTCACTGGTACAGTCACATCGGTTCAATAATTCTTTTTTGGTAATCCATTTTGCTGGATCCTATAGTTCACAAACAATGAGAGGAGAAGTTTTCCTGTCTAGCACCAGAGTTGGCATGAAAAGCAAGCATTAAAAGCAAGCAGCAGGGTGCAGGGATAGTGATGAAGTGGAGGTGAGCTTCACTCAAGGTCAAGGGCAGAGAATGCAGCAGTGCAGGTGACACAGGCTTAAGAAATCATTTGGGTGTGATAAAGAAATCCCAAGCATTTGTGGAGACCAGGTTACTCTTCCTTCCTGCTCTGCGGGCTGCTGAGAGGGAGCTTCCTCCTTTCTCAGTCTTGTTAAAACAGCTTGAGAGGTGAGAGAGGGACTTTCAATGCCCAGTGCCACAGCTGGAAACTTCACCTGGCTGGTGGATGCTGAGCCTAGCACCAGGGTTGTGTTGGGGACCCTGTGCGGGAGTGCTGATGTCAGAGTTCAGATGAGCACTTCAGGCCATGACTGGCGCAGACCTCCAAGGCTGAGGCCAGCTGAGCATTGCAGGACTGTGCTTGAGTCTGGAAGTGTGTGGGAATCTTTGTTCTTGAGAATCCAGGAAAATCCACCACCAGGCCTGGCTCCTAAGACAAGGGTTTAGGCCCCTCCCTGGAGTCCCCTTTCACTCATATGTGGAAAGGTCAAGTTTAAAGTCTACCATTTCCAAACCACTTGTGCAACTTTTGAAAATTAATTACTTTTCCCAAATCTCAACTTTTTTCAACTACAGATAGAGCTCATCAAATCTGCCCTGCTTATGTCAACGGGTCTTATAAAACATACCTAAAGTGAAGGGCTCCCCAGAGGGTGATCAGTGCCCACCTTGGTGGTTGGTGCATTGCTTATGATAAAGGTGATTTTTCTTTCATGGTCTGACAGATTGAGTTGCTTCTTGGCACCTGATTTCTGAGTCCTGATGACCAACGCCAAATCTTCATGCTTCTAATCACAGATTCTTGTCCATGAATCTCTAGAGTCAGAAATAGCTGGGTTAGTGTCTTGTTTCTAACACTAATAAGTTACTGACCTTGAGGAAACCCTGTAACCCTGATGAGGCTTTTTCTCTGTCTTCTAAAGTATTCCTATCAATCCAGTGATGATTCAATGAGATATTGCAGATGAAGTGCCTATCACGTAGTCGTGTCTCCTCAATGTTGCTCCTCTTTCATTCTTTTTGAGTTGTCATGTGATCACATGATTAGTTGTTTTCCTCATTCTGGGGAAATTTCCACCCTTGGTTTCCTAATGATGTCACAAGGACCCTAGTTCCCGTTTCATGATCTCCTGTCAGAGTTTGTCTGTCTCTGAGTATATTTTGATACAAAATTCTAATCACCCAAGTTAGGAACTCATCATCCTTAGAGACACTGGTTTGTAAGCCCTGGGAGAGGAGAAAATATGGCTTTGGCTGATACTGTCCTTGGATTCCAAGAGTGATCTTGATGTCAGTGAACTGAAGACCTTTGGATGGGCAGCCTGAAGTTCAGGCAACTGAGTCATGGTCTGTGCTCCACTCCTGCACCTTCACTGGCCACGTCACCTCTGCGTGGCTCTTTTGCTGAGGGGCTGCTCTTCCATCTCTGTTTAGAGTACAATACCCTGGCTCCGTTCCTACCCATTGCCAGTCCCATCAACACAGCCTCTTGTTTCTCAATATTCCACAGAGACTTAGGGCAGAGATACTCATTTGCCCATGGTTACCAAAATGGGGATGAGAACTCAGGTTTCATGAATGCTCAATCCAGTACTCCTCATACTTTCTTCCACCAATCTTTAGGAGCAAACTTCATGAGAAAGGCCTTCGGACTTCTACGGGGTAAAGACCCAACATGTATTGCTTTGCTTTATTAAAAAAAAAAAATCCAGTGGTGTAGAAAAGAATTTAATGTTTTTCAAAAGATACAGACCTTGTTTGAGTTCAAAGTGCTTCTTCCACCCTTCATTTTGGTTACACAATAAATTCCCAGAGAACAAAGTAGGTCTTTACCCAGATATAAAGGGGCCTAGTCAAGCTTTATTTGCTTAACGAAGTCCATTTCCCAGAACTTTCATGGTTCCATATAGTTGAAAGGCTTTGGATTACAGAATCAAGAGCACAGAGTGTACAGAGTTTTGAACTTTAGTGTAGCCCTTGACTTAGCTCTGTAATCTCTGCTACATCCTTTAGCCTCTCAGAGCTTCTGGTTCCTGAAATACTAAAATGGAGGCCCTAACACCTTCCATAGTGATAGGGCTTATCTGCACATCTCAAGAGATGCCCTCGATATTAGTCTGTGATGTGTGTGGTGCTTCCTGGAGCTATGCATCATCATGACCCTGGTTATGCCAGGAAATTAAATAAAATAACAACATCTGGTGTACTTAATAAAGTTTTTTCATTCCTTTAATTGGCCATATCTCTTCTCTCATTAGGATTTCCTAGCTGTCATGAGATGAGCTGGTTTCCTGTCTTAAGAGTGCTTTTCTTACAGTGCATGACTTGAAACAGAATGCTGTGCTGTGAATCCGAGCTTGGTTTTATTGTCATGTAGGGGTTGGACATCACAGCTCTTAGGGAGTTGCATCGTAAGTCGGTGGCAGCAGCCATGACAAGGGGATCTCTCTTTGAGTATTTTAAGTGGCTTAGGATTCTAGAGAGTCTGGATTTTGTGCTATAGACAAGTTCTTCCTTTTTGTTTCAGTTTTCTAAGCATGTGTGCTTTTATTTCTCAGAGAATACAAGGCTCTAGAGACCAAATACAGTCAGATACAGGTTTTGACCTTATAGGCTCAGCATGCAGCTCCTTGAGGGAGCTAGTCGAAGACAACCAGAAACTAAGATTCAGAGTACAAAAATCATGGCGGAAAGATACAGATAGTATTCAGTGGTCTGTATGGAAGAAGAGAATGTCTGAGGGAATATCTAGATGGCACAAATTAAGGCTGGATTTTTCTGAGAGTTGCTTGACCCTACATAGCTGGTAGGAGGCGGACCAAGGCTGAATTTCTAAGCTCCTCATTTTAAATTAATTGCTCGGCTCATTGCTCCATTGCATGTCATTTCGAATGTTCTTCACATCATTTTTTCCCCTTGTCCTGCTCCTTGTAGGTTTGTTTTCCTGCTTAAAACAGAGCTATACACAGCTTTCATTATGATTCACACCAGCCTGAGGAAAAAATTCAGCTACTGTGTGCTGGCCTTTGTCCTGTTCGCAGCCATCTGTGTGTGGAAGGAAAGGAAGAAAGGGAGTTACTATGGTTCTCTTAAACTGCAAACCAACGAATTCCAGGAGCCAAAGAACCTTGAGAAGTTGACCACAGGGTCTGGTTCCCAGCATGTGTCATCAAGAAGTACCCAGGTCCCCCACCAGCTCAGCCGGACACTCAGTCCCAGGGTCCCACACAAGACCAAACCTCAGCCCACCTTCCAGGTGTGGAACAAGGACAGCTCATCCAAAAACCTCGTACCCAGGCTGCAAAAGATCTGGAAGAATTATGTGCGCATGAACAAGTATAAAGTATCCTACAAGGGACCAGGACCAGGCGTCAAGTTCAGTGTGGATGCCCTGCTCTGCCACCTCCGGGACCATGTGAATGTGTCTATGGTAGACACCACGGACTATCCCTTCAATACCTCTGAATGGGAGGGTTACCTGCCCAGGGAGAACATTAGGACCAAGGCTGGGCCGTGGCGTAGGTGTGCTGTTGTCTCCTCGGCGGGGTCTCTGAAATCCTCACAACTGGGCCAAGAAATAGGTACGTGCCATTGTTCCCTGAGTGGCCACTGCTCTCAGGAAGCAGCTGGACGTGTTGAGGGTCCTGCACACAGGACTTAGCGTGGCTCGCTGCAGAATGATGTTTGCTGCTTCTTCCTCAGTGTCAGATCCGCTATGCAGATGGGTGAAAGGATGGGAATCTGGGACCCCCGCATCTTTATCAATGAACTTAGCTTCATTTTTGTCTCTTTCAACTATTGAGATCCTGCAGAATAATTTCATTTGAAAAAGAAAGTTCTCCTGCTACCCCAAAGCAAAAAACTACATTTGACCTTAGAAAATATTTGAAACATAGATTTTTACTTCATTGTCATGTTCTAATATTCTGTTATTTTAGTAGAATACAAGAGGGACTCTTTTAGCCTTAACTCCCTGAGTAATCACATTTTTCCCTTGAAAAAATTAGAGCATGGATTCTTAACTTAGAGGCTGTGGGCTAATTTCAAGGGGTTAATTATTCCTTATAATCAAAAATACTTGTGGATTCGGTATGTATAATATGTAATATTGTGTAATATTGTGCATTTTTCCAATGAAAATTTATAATGTAGTTGATTCTCAGAGGAGTCTGTGGTCCAAATAAGATTTTAGTCATCGGGCAAAAGAGATCAATTTGCTTTTCTTAAAGTCCTTTGCATCTAATAAAGGCTGTCTGTACATATATGAGCTAATCCAATCAACAGCTACTGATTTGCTTGAGGCCCTTTGCTTCGCTTGCATGGGGAGAAATATATTTTCCATTATTGGGAAGTCAATCTGGCAGTAGAGAAAGCAGAGCACGGGAAGGCTCACTCTTCTGTCAGGCTGGAGGTATCGGAGCAGGTGAGGTCATATGTCTCCTTTTTTATTTCCTTCTTGTGACTGCCAGGAAAAATGACCTGAAGCCAAGCACATGCTCTCAAAGAAACGTAGATGTGAATGGGCCATAAGAAAAGTGGTGAGATCACTTTTTAGCTCCCCAAATGAGCAGTGCTTACTAATAAGAACTACCAGGGCTGCACCTCAACTTTGATTTTTGCCTTGTAGTTTCTTTGGGACTTTGTTTGCTGGAAACTAAATGGGCCTGGATTTTGTTCATCTATAATAAAACTAAGCTTTTTCTTTCTTTTCTATTTTTGCCAAACATGGCGGTGTGTAGTTCTTCCAGGTATTAGTACCGCCTTCTTCCTGCCAGCCTGGCTGAAATTATGCTGAAGTCTGAGGTCGAGGCAACATCCTTTTGTGAATTATTTTTAATACACCTTTATTTTTATGCACTCCCTAAAAGTAGGAGTGATTTAAATAAATGTGAATGGAAATGATCTTTTTCAGTACACTGCAGTTACAAACTTCAGACAAAAAGTACTGTGGAAGGACTTTGATCTTGAGATATAAAATTTACATGTTAAACTTCAAGTGTTCTAAATTTTATAGGGCATACCCTCTGGGCATTGGGTCTAACAAATATTTTAAGACATTCATTCATCTCCTTTTATTCATTCATGAATTCATCAACCACACAAAATAAGAGGTTGGATACAAAGGACCGAAAGGAAGGGAACGGCGGTTCCCTCCAGCTCCAGGAAGAATGCCAGGCCCACGGACTTCCCACCACAAAGAAATCTGTTGAGTCTGTTCCCAATGATTGAGCATGCAAGATGTCTTCAAATTGTTTAGTTTTATAACATGTACTGCTAGGAAGGTTTATTACGCAGATAATGTTATTTAGAGTTTTATTTATTACTAGGGTTTGAACCCAGGTCCTTTGCATTGAGCTGCATCCTATTTTATTTTATTTTACTTTAGCTTTTGAGTCAGGGTCTCATTTAGTCTCTTTTCCAGGCTGGGCTAAAATTTATAATCCTCCTATTGCAGCCACCTAGAAGGCTGGGATTATAGGACTGTGCCACCATGGCTGGCAGATAATTTATGTAATACTGCTGCCCTTCAAAGGGGGAAATATCCTCAAGGATGGGGTTAAAAGCCCTAAAGAGAAAGATTTTATGGCTATATTTTCAGCCATGGCAAGACTATTTACCAAAGAAAGTATACAGAGTATGCATAATGTACCTCTGACAGCAACACAAGCCAGCCAAGGCTGGACTGAGTAATTTTCGACAATATTTGGTAGCTTACTTATGCATAGAAAGTATTTTAGATTTGTTGGGAGCTTCATTTCAAACAGTAGCTCATAATGAAGAACATCATGGCCAACAGGAGTGATGCTTACTATGCACCTACGGTGTGTCTAGTGTACTTAAGCTTTGAGTTTTCCCACCCGTCCTCTGAGCTGGATCAGGTCATTGCTGCCATTTGCTGATGTACAAACTCACAGTCTTGGAGGTTCACACAACTCGTTGGGAGCAGACTGGGGTTTGGAAGCTGTGGTTTGCCTCCTAGGCCTCTCTGCTTAGCTCTTCTGCTTTGTGATGGTTATTATTTCATAAAAAATGTAGTAGGGTTCATCTTTTGTTGGGGAAAAGAGGAGGATGTTATGAGTTGAGGCAAAGGGAAGAAGCAGGGGCTGCATAGAAGAAAGTGCTTAGTGTGTTTGAGTCTTTTAGAATCCTCTTTTGGCTGGCAATGGGGCCCAGTGGGCGAGGAGTGGTGAACAATGAGACCAGAATGGGAAGGAAGGTTCAGCTCTTAGAGAATGGTAGCAGTCCATAAGGATCCTGGGTTTTGTTCTTTAAGCCACAGAGTTCCCTAGAGGTTCTGGTCGGTGCGCGCTTTGAGGAGATCTCTCATTTTTCCAAGAGCCATGTCTCCCTGGGGACTCTCGTATAATGTCTCCATCGTTAGGCACTATTACCACATCCAGCTGTGCCAGGCTATCCAGCACTGGGCCTGGTGGTGGTGGAGAAAAAAGGTCAGAACTTAGTGTCTAACTAGAAATGCCCTAGAGTGAGAGGTAGGAGCCAGAGTTTCTAGCCCAGGAACAGCCTGCGTCCTGGTGATGGTGAGCGTGATTCTGGAGGAGGCAGATTCTGTTTTGGGTGCTCAGAGTCTGAAATGTTTGTGGGTTTCCTTCCGTAGTTGTCTGGGTGGTTGGGTGTTTGATTCTGAAAAAGGGTCAGATCTGGAGATCAGATTTAGAAGTCATTTGCGTTGAGGTGAGGTTATGTTACAGTGGAAGGGAAAACCAGTTAGCAAACCTGAAAACAGAACAAGAACAAGCAGAAACATTCAGACTGTATAGAAAGCAGAGGGGGGTTTTGTTGGGGGTGGCAGCTTTGGGCATCACAGACTGCAGAGCTGGGATATGTGTTTAAGCAGAAGGTGGACTGAGAGGGCGCCTATGGATGCAGCAGCTTGAAGAACATGATTGGTTATGGCAGAGGGCACAGAACTTTTATTGTAAAAGGCCTGATAGAGACTAGTTTTAGTGCTGAGGGCCATAGAGTCTCTATAAGAAGTGCTCAACTTAGTAGCTGTAATGCAAAAACAGTCAGAAAGAGCAGTAGTAAAGAATGCACGTGTGTGTTTATTCCAGTAAAAATTGATAAAGATGAGGCCCAGGTAATGGTAATGCACACGTGTAACCCCAGTAGTTGGGAGTCCTTTAATGAAACTATTAGTTGCTACATTGGAGCTTTCATCTCTTTTCTACAGAGATTTGCAGTGATCATTCATTCATTCACTCATTCATAAAACGAGAAAGTTGGCCAAGGGCATTTTCCATAGATCTGCATTTTCCCATGACAGATCTTGTAATTCTGAGTTGTGTAAAGAGGCACTTCCTGCTCTATTTGCAGGTCAGCCTGCCTGCCCCTCAAACTGAAAATACTTGGACTGTGCTCATCTCATATGACTCTGAGACCGTTTCAGTGATGTTTTGTCCTAGGACTGAGGACACGGCTATGTTGTTTTTGTGAATGGGGTGCCAGGATTCATGCATGAGGTTATTCTGGAATTAAATAGAAGAAAGATTTCATCCTTTAATTTCCCCTTCCAGATCATCTTATGTTGAACCAAATGCCTTTTTGTTTCCCCTCCATCCTATCTGTGATTTGTGTGAATAAAGAACAACAAAAACATACCCACATGGAGGCATACAGGATGCTAGATTATTTGCCTTAGCTTCAAATAGATTTTGGTGGTGAACTCTAAACTTCCTTGGTAGTAGAAAGTTGGGCTGACCTGTCATAGAATCACAAAGGTCCCAGAGTGGGATGGTACTTGAAGGTCATGACGTCATCCATCAGGTTGCTCAATATAAGTAGAAAACTTCTCCATCCCTCAAACTCTTCTTTAAGTAGCCAGAAGGACGGTGAGCCCAAGAAGTAATTATATATATTAGAGACAATATAACTGATATTGATTAGATTTAATACTATATCTATATTTTGTTTTTGTTTTGTTTTGTTTTTTGAGACAGGGTCTTGCCATACAGTCAGGTTACCCTTGAACTCATTATGTGGCCCAGGCTGGCCTTGGACTCACAGTAATCCTCCTGTTTCAGCCTCCACTGTATATTTTTTCTGACAAAATGCTTATTTTAAAAAAATGAGGAATCGTGGCATTTAGTTTACCACTGTGACCTCTTGCTCCATTTCTATCACACCAGGTTTGTGACCCTTAAATGGAACACTTATGTTGGTCTTGGATACCATGGTGAGTCTTTTCATTTGCCAAGCACTGTGCTTGTAAAGTAGACTGAGCATATGACATTGTCTTGATTTTTCTGACAGGAATAGACATCTAATATACTGTGACACTGACAACACATTTGGTTTGTTCCTTTGATAATCGAGTAGCTATTCCTCCGCAAGTTGCGCACTGGCTTTGGTCACTTTGCTGCTGTGCTTTGGTACACTGGTGCCTTTGAATGAGTTTCAGGGATGCATGATCTGGACGCCCTTTAGCTTATGCAGTAGCTGACAGACAGATGGTCATTTTGGTCTCTGAGTTCTACCTGAGCAACTGAGACACGCATTTTTTTCTTTTGTATCACAATCGGGTAAATATAAGAAAGGACTTTATCTTGTTCTCTCCCTTTCCATCTGCCTCTTTCCCCTCCTGCCCTTTCTGCCTTGCTGTGTGTTGTCAGCATTCATCCATCACTTCTCTTATATTTCCTTGTGGTTTATAGATGATCACGATGCAGTCCTGAGATTCAATGGGGCACCCACGGCCAACTTCCAACAAGACGTGGGCACGAAGACTACCATCCGCCTGATGAACTCGCAGGTAAGGTTTTTTCTGTGCAGATAGTATGTCTTAGTCAGCATCCTATTGCTGAGACAGGATGCCCAACACCCACGGTTTAAAAGAGGAGAAGTTAATTGTGGCTCACAGTATCACCCTTGGTTGGTGGGCTCCGAGAAACAGGATGGTAGAAGGGCCTGGTGGAGACAAATATGCTCAGCAGGAAGCCTAGAGAGGAAAGAGGAGGCCTGGAGGGGGATATGCAGCAGGTCAGCTCTGAACTCCTCAGCAGACTAAACACTGACTTAGTATAGCACCCTCATGACCCAATCATCTCCCATATACTTGAGAATTTTAGAGGACATTTGCCCCAACCATAACATGGATCAAGAGGACAATCCCAGTGTGCACTCCAAAGTGGAATGTACCTACCAAAAGTGTATTGAAGCTGCTACATTAGGCCTCCTGACCCTTCTTAGATCCTGACTTTCCATTGGAGAAAGTGGATGTGAGTCTCTCCCCAACCTTGCCGTGTGTTCCTTAAGAAAAAAAGGTCATATGCTATTGGTCTGCAATGCTGGTAGTTTCTAGGCCCCAGGAAATCAGAGTTCTGCTGTTCTTGAAGTCAAGAGGTCATACCCGGATGTAGTGTGAGGGTCCAGGAAGTGCAGAGGATCCAGGAAAGGGTGAGGAGCATTGTGAAAAGTAAATGAGGAAGTGGATGTGAAAGTGCTCTGTGTGCTGTAAAATGATACACAGCTACTGCTATATCATTACCATTTTGTTGTGTGTAACACACATGAGAATTCAGGTGTCACTCAATGGATTCCCCTGGATAATTCACTGTAGGTGGCCCAAGCTGATTTCTCAATACTAACAGAAAATGGAGCAATATTATTGCCACAAAGTTCTGTTAATGGATTTAATGAGTAGGAAAACGGAATTGCATACATTGAAAAACTGTGTGCTTGCAGGCACAATGGCCCTCACCTGTAGTCCTAGCTGTGTGGAAGACTGATTGGGAGGATCCCTTGATGCCAAGGGTTTGTGCTTACCATGGCAACAGAGAAAGGCCTCACCTCAAAAAATATTGCACCTCAAAAAAAAAAAAATTGTAAATCTAGTCATCTTGCTCACAACCACTGATGTTTGCCTTTTCCTAACCAAACATATGAACCTTATGTGTTGTTACGTAAATGTTTAATCTCTATAGACCTCTCCCCATGACTCCCAGATAGGGTCAGAATCCTGGAACTGATCAAAATGCCACGTCTACACGTTCCTGGTAGAATGTGCATATCTCACTCCCTGTGGCAGGTGTGTGACTCTATTTCTTTCTTTCTCTTTACGCCCTCGCTTCCAGGAACTCACCAGCTAAGACGAGCTACTTCCTGTACAGTAGACTTTTCACTGGAAATCCACACCCTGAGAGTCTTGTTTATGATGGCATAGGGAGGGTAGGACTTAACTTCTGTGCGAGGGCCACCATCTGTTTGTTTTTCTTCCTCTAAGACCTTTTTGCTCTTGTGAGATAGTGATTTTCTGCCCGTAAATAACCTCTAGGTGCTTCCAGGGCCTGTGTGCTGCTTTGCCTCAGATTTGGAGTTTTAATGTATTTTCTTTTATTACTAGAAAGAGAGAGGTTTAAAAGAAATGCTTTGATTAGCAAGAGACTCTGGAGCAAACAACCCATTTGAGCCTGATTTGAGAGGTGGGCAGGGTTTGAGAAATTGCAATAGGGAGGTGTTCCAGAAAGTGGGGCTGGCATTCGCACAACGCCGGCTGGGCAGAGGTGGCCGCTGGGTGGGATTCATAGTGCCCTCTAGGGGGCGCCGAGGCTGGTCCTTTATGGCTGCTCAGCGTTTCTGGAAATTCACACAGTGGAGTTAAGATTGCCCTTTCTTCTTTTTCTTCTCATGCCCCAGTCACGGAGACCCCAGCGCTAAAGAGTACATTAGGGAACATAAACACTTGGCTTCCACTTTTGTGTGATCTGCACCTGAATGTCTGGGGGAGGGTTTCTCACCGTTCATTTCATTCATCCATTCATTCTGCAGGTACGCACAGTGTAGCAGTCAGTACATAGTCTCTTCAGTTAGCCTGTCTGGGGTGGAGACAAGCCCTGTCTCTTAGAGTTAAATTTCATGTCCGGCTTAGGTACGTTGCAGCTTCCTTATCAGTAAAGAATACTGAATGATTTTCCTCACAACCTTTTTGTGAGCTGCAAATGAGAAAAACCTGCGCAAAGCTCTTAGCATAGTACCTAAGACATACGCTATTCACGGTTACCAGTGCTGTTTAGATATGCAGAGCTTGCACCGGGAGGGGAGGATATGATGTCGCTGGGAGCACAGAATGGAGAGGGAAACAACATGATCATTTCAGCTGACTCAAAAGCATTTGACAAAAGCCAACACCTTTTCATGACAAAAACATTAAATGAACTAGAAATAGAAGGACATTCCTGGATGTTGAAGCTGAATATGAAAAACAAGAGACAAACATATTCAGGGATGAAAGGTTGACATCTTTCCTCTAAATTTATTAGGAAGGTGAGGATACCTATTTGTCATTGTCATTGAGCTTGTTACTGGAAGTCCTGACAAGAGCAAATTAGGTTTAAATACTAGATGGCAGGAAAAAAAAAGAGAGCAAGTTAGGTGAGGAAAAAATGTACCTAAGTTGGAAAGGAAGAAGTTAAAGTACCTGTGTTCACAAGTGGTATGATCTTCTTTATAGAAATTCTAAATAGAGTCCCCCCCCCCCCAAATCTTGTTGGAACTAATCAGGAGTTCAGTGAAGTGGCAGGCTCTCAAGTTCATACAAAGGAAGCAGATTATTGTTTATACAATGTGTAGACCAGCAATGAATAATCCAAGCAGGAAATTAGGAAAAAATTTCATTTCTAATGGCATCAGAAGAGTTAGAAATTTAAATTCAACAAAAGATTTATACAATGAAACCTGCAAACATTTCTATCAGAAATTAAGAAGATGTAAGTACAAAATAGCCAATATCAGTTCTATACTATAATTAATATTAATAATATTTAATACAATACTAAGTTTTCACAAGTTAGGAGACTTAATGCAAGTTAAGCACCCTCCATTTAGAATGTTCCAGGATCTAACTTTTTGATCATTGACATGATGCCACAATGAGAAATTCCACACCTGAGCTCAGGTACAGTAAAATATTGTGCAGAATTACCATTAGCTTATGTTTAGAAAGTGTATATAAAACCAAGATAAATTTTGTTTGTAGAGTTGGGTTTCACACCCAAACTATCTCATTATGTCTATGTAAATATTCCAACTTATGAAAAAGGATTCTGAAACGGAAACATTTCTGGTTTTAAGCACTTTAAATAAAAGCACTCAGCTTGTATTTTCTTTTCTTTCTTTCTTTTTTTTTTTTTTTTTGGTCTTTTTCCTTTTTCCTTTTTTATCAGTACCAGGGATTGAACTCAGGACTGCACACTTGCAAGGCAGGTGCTTATGCCGCTGAGCTAAACCCCAGCCCCTTTGGTTTGTATTTTCAAGATGTCAGTACTATCCCAAACATCTACAGATTTAGTGCAGTTCCTATGAAGAGCCCAATGTTTTTTTTTTTTTTCAGAAATAGGAAAACCCTAAAATGCATAAGGATCACAAATAGCCAGAACAGTACCGAGAAAGAAGTATAAAGCTGGAGAACCTACATTTCTGACTTGAAAACTTACTCTAGTGCTTCTATAGTCAAAACAGTGTGGTACTGATTTGAAGAGAGACTTAGAACAATGAAATAGAATAGCAAGTTCACAAGCAAACCTTTACAGAAATGGTTGAATGATGTCAGATTCATTAAAATCTGTCAATGGAAGAAAAGTCTTTTCAAGAAATAATGCTGGGAAAATGAGTTGTCCAGGTGCAAAAGCATGAAATTGGACTGTTATCTATCACTATAAAGACAAATTAATTCAAAATAAATCCATGATCTAAATGTCATACCTAAAACTGTATAAAACTACCAGAAGACAGCATAGGACAAAATTTTGTGACTTAAGTTTTGGCAATGATTTTATGGTTACGACATCAAAGGCAGAGGATACAAAGGGAAAAAATACATATTGAACTTAATGAAATATTTTAAAATGTGTGTCAACAGATCCTCTACAAAAGATGAAAAGAATCCCACAAAATGGGAGAAGACATTTGTGAGTGATATGTCTGATAAGGATTAATAAATAGAATATGTATAAAACTCCAACAAAAATGCAATTCAAAAATAAGTCAAAAAAATTGAATTGATATTTTTCCAAAGAAGATGTGCAATAGAAATAGCCATCAAACACATGACTCAACACCACAGTCACTAAGGAAATATAAATCAAAACTTCACACAGTAGGATGGCTTCTATGAGGAAAAATTGGAACCCCTGTGCATAGTGTAAAATGGTTAGCTACTGTGAAAAAACAGTATCAAAAAACTTAAAAATATAATTATCATTTAATCTAGCAATTCCACTTTTTGGCATATATTTCAAAGAATTGAGAGCAGGATCTTTAACATGTATAACCATGCTCAGAGTGGAGTTACTCACAATACCTAGAATGTGAGCCAAAAATCAAATGGTGATGGATAGATGAATGGATAAGAAAACCTGGTATATTCATACAATCAAATGTTACTCAACCTTAAAAAAGGAGGTCAGACACATGTCACAACATGGATGAGCTCTGAGAACATAATATTAAATGAAATCATCCAGTCACAAAAAGAAAAATAGCATGTGATTATTTTTATGTGACTCATTTGGTATAGTCAAAATCATGGAGCCAAAAAGTACAGTTTTCCCAGCATTATGTCTTGAAAAGACTTTTTTCCATTGAGTGATTTTAATGAATCTGGCAGCACATCATATGACCTTTTCTGTTAGGAGCTAGGAGGAATAGAGTGGGATTGTTTATTGGGTACAGGGTTTCATTTTTGCAAGACTGAAAAGACTTCTGGAGACAGATGATTGGTGCACATTGATAAACAATATTAACGTACTTAATGCT